CTAGTCTTGGAACTGGGCTAGAGTTCGGTCATGGTTCCAGTTGCGCAGCAAATTGAGAAATTCATGCGAGCTCTTGGAAACTATCTTGGTGTTACAGTGCATGCTTGTGTTGGTGGAACCAGTGTTCGTGAAGACCAAAGAATCCTTTCTACTTTCTAGTGGGGTTTATGTTGTAGTTGCTACTCAAGGACGTGTTTTTGACATGCTCCGAAGACAGTCCCTTCGTCCTGATCACACCAAGATGTTTGTGTTAGATGAGGCAGATGAAATGCTTTCACGTGGTTTCACGGATCAGGTGCATTTTGAACCTGCAATATTGTGGTGGCTACCGTCCTCCTCGACGTTGTTGAATCAAACTTCACTAAAGGTAGTGAAAGTGGTCCGCTACATAAGAAGCACGCTCCATTTTACCATCGTCTCCAAGTGCTTCGCGAAGGAAAAGGCAGACATAAATTTAATAGGAATAGGAGATGGCCAAGGTCTAATGTGATCTGGGCCGCGACTCGATCATCCTCGCTTTGGCTCCTCGTTCACCTAACTCTTGGCTCAACATACCCTGCACTGCACACCACAAACAAGAAAGCCCCCATGGAGTTTTGGGACTCTCTAACGCTCGAGCTCAAAAGAAGTGAAATTGGCAGAGTAATGGCTGATATATCTTAAAATGTCTCGTACCTCAAACGATAGATTTTACGGTTATTGATTCTTACTTTCATAGCTTGGAGTTCCCCAAGTTTCAGAGATCTAAAATCATGGAGTTATCTCCCCAAAACGTGCGTGTATCATCAATGGGATTATTTTTTACTCTTATTGGGTTATGTGTAAAACTGATGCTATCAGTAGATTTTCCACATTAGTCACTTTTTGAAGCAGCTCGTTGTGACAGATTTTGTTGTGGGGTGAAATTTTGAGGGAGAATTCAAAACAAAAAAAGTACTTGAGTTTTCATCAATTATCAATTACCCTCACTCTATTTTCAGAAATACAAGTTTGTCCCTTCACTTTAGCAAACTTGTGCAATTATTTAGTTTCAGATTTTCTTAAAACATGTTCCCAGAACACTTATTGAGCAATCAAATAAATAAAAATTACAATTTTCAATGCACTAGCTGCTTTTTTTAGTATGCTATATCGATCAATATATACGAAACAAGATATTTAATATTAAATGTCTAACTAGTGCTTTAAGGATGATTGTTAACAAAACTGTTATTTCTCTTCCATAAAATAAATCCCAAATTTTGTCGCACCAATCAACACACAAATCCTAAATCATAAAACCAAAATCTTAAGCCCCTAGTTCAATCGCCATAACCCCGGCCGTCATCACCCGATGCCATCGCCTTCAGCCCCTTGCCCTACCACCGTCGCCTCCCCCTCCTCCCTCAATAGCCCATTGCCAACACTACCCTCACACGACCCGCTCCTCTGTCGAAAATACCTCTATTTGAGGTCACTTACAGCGTCACCTCTTAGCAGTAGTTGAACTAGTTGAGAGAGCAACAGCTACAGGGACATCAATATGAGGCCACCCATGGCATCATGACCTCACTCCAAGGTTGCAAACATGGTGGCCCTTATCGAGACTAAACATTGAGAGAGAGAGAGAGAGAGAGAGAGAGAGAGTCATTTCAATTGGCTAGGTTGAGGAAGGAAACTTGCATTTTCATAGATAGTGGAGATTGGTCTTGAGCAGGACCTTAAAAGGCTCAAGAAGAAATAGGAGAAGGAGTTTCTTAGTATGATGGAGGGATCTTTTTGTAAGCTCTCTCCGTCTTTCAGACCTTTCCTCGGAAGAAAAACAACACAAGAGAGGGATAGGGAGTTCCAAGGTAGACCGGCCACCGAGTCGAGGCATTGTAGACTTGATAGGTGGCAACACCCTACTGTGATGAGGTAAACCTTACTAAACACCAAAGATCCACGGCATTTTCAATTGGTTGGGTTGAGGAAAGAAACTTGCATTTTCATACATACTGGAGGTAAATTAACGAAAATATGGGTATGTTTTCCGTTTCTTTTCCCTAATTGTTAGTTTTTCAGTTTCGAGCTTCGTGAATTTATCTAAAGAAAACTAGAAAATGTTGTATGATAAAAACACATCCAGCTCCAACTTCCAATTAAGAACAGACCATCTACACAGGAGGTAGTTGATATCTTTCTTTAGTTATGAACAATCACGACAAGATAACTTTTTTAGGTCTTGTCTTGGACAGGACCTGAATATCTCCTGCCGAATTATGATTCACTATCGCTGCCCATGCACATAAGAAAAATTTTAAAAATTAAAATCTATACATGGGTGGTAAGTTGATCTACAAAGAAAAATCGCACACCTAGGTATTATAACTATTTAATTATTAACTCCAGCTTCAAATATATCTTATGCAAAGCAGGAACAAGAGTATTACATATTTCTCCAGCTTTTGCTGTTCAAGCTGAGTACACCTTCCCAATCAGATTAAAGACAAGCTTGACCCATGTTCGATTTGAAAGAAGAACCCTTTATTTTGGTGCAAAAGCCCTCGTGATTTGAAAGATCGCGATCACCCGGAACCACGTTCTTTGTAATTTCAGGACCACCAAGGAAAGATCAAAGGTGGGGGCATGTGGAGTACGGGATAATTACCAAAAATAGTCCTAAATCTATCGTGCAGATGCTGATTCATTCTTAAACCTCTTAATTTGGCCAATTTAGTCCTAAACTTTTGTACGATCTGCCAACGTAGTCTTTTCAGCCAATTTTGGCCAGCAATAGTTGATGTGGACGCCGTCCATTCTACATGACACAGCCGGCGCTGATATGGCCAATTTTGCAATCATCTTTTATATGTATTTTTTCTTTTTTCTTTTCTTTATTTCTTTTTTACTGTGGCTGAGTGAGTCTACAATGATTTTAAAAAATTGCAAAAATTGTCCACCTCAGTTCCAACCGTGCCACATAAAACAGTTGGCGCCTACATCAGCGATTTCCAACCGAAATTGGCCGGATGAACTACATTGGGCAAATTGTCAAAAAATTTATGACTGAATTAGCACAAATACAATAAGTTTATTGACCTTATTGGGCAACTTTTCCTACATGAGCTAGCACGAGGTTAATGAGCTCATTCAATAGGACCTGACACTCGGTGTAAATTGGCCATGCATGGAAGAGTCCTGGTGCGTTCATTGCTCAACCTATATGCATTAATCAACAGTGGGTCACGTATAGCCTGCTCTCTTCATTTACTTCCATTCCATGCACATCAAAACTCTCATCTAACTTGGATCCAACCACACGAGAAAGTGTGCCCCTCCTCCCTTTGGTTGGTGTTTTGGACCATTGGTAGCTTTGAATGTTTCGGTTATTCATTTTACCCGAAAAAGGACACCTCTTATATCACTCTTTACTTATAAAGAGAGAATCCTAGGGGCGAACATTCGCATAAAGATGCCTTGTAAATTCCAAAACACTGTTTTTCTCGTGTTATGTACGATTAATATATTGAAAATGAAAAAAATTTCTTTATTAAATATGGCTAGACACATGTTACCAACATTGATTGATTATAAGTTCCTCAAAGTTGTTTATCGAGTATTGTTATTGAAATCTCTTACTACATAACACGGCAAAGTCTAGTCGAGTTTTTGAACCGTTGGAGTGCACACAAAATGAAGTGATATTGTCGATCGCTTGACACATTTCAGCAAGCATTTGGCTTCTTTTAGCATTTTGCATTTCAACTTGACACATTGAAGTAATCCCGTCAATCACTTGATAGCTTGACACGACATTAAGATATCTTGTCGCAGATATACAAACTCGACTTTAAATATGGGCGTAATCCATATTTGTAATCCACCAATTTAAAAGGTTAGTTGGGAAAAATGTGCCCAAACATAGCCCTTTGATTTCTCTAGGTTATTACATGACAATTGCATAATGCATGAATATGTGGTATAATTGACGGTATGCCACATCTTGACGAGCCTTTCATCTACCCTTAGAAAGGTAGACTCGTAGCTATAGCTAGTCTTCCTATTATCCAAATACCCAAAATAGCGGAAAGTCTCAAAAAAACATGGAGATCTCGAGATTTGATGTAGATCATCTATCCGTTCAATGAGTATTTATGGGTCGAAACTTAGACAGGTTTTTGATAGTTTCCTTTCATAGAGTTAACTTTTCCAAATATATACATATACAGTTCAAATAAAAAAAAGAAATAGGAATTTTAACTTACTTCTCTTATATGAGTATCCAATTTTTTGTTAGATATCTCATCCTTGCTTGGGAGATATCGTTAGTTTATGGGAATTTAAGGATATAAAAACTTATTAATTACTCTCTTGTCATGTTACTTACTCTTCTTGGTTATCTCTTTCTCTCTTTTGTTGCCATGGGAGAGGAACTTATCATCGAGAGAGAGATTGAAGAAAGGGACTCGAGTGGACCATTAGGGTTTGATGAATATACACGGGAAAAGCGGAGATGTGTTAGGATTAACATGGAGGGAATTCGAGAAGCAGACAGACATTATTCTTTCCCTTATATTAGGTAATAGGTATATATGTAGATTTGTACACATAGTTCGTTGTCATTGCTATGAAGCTTTGACCCATATGCAATTCCTTGACGTACATGATGGACCACTTTTGGCTTATAGCACTTCCTGATATATACATATGTATATATATTTGTGTTTGTTAGTTATCAAAGGCAAAGGATAGCTTGTGTCTCTTATAATGATAACTTTTCTGTCTTGTTTTGCCACTTTAGATATGGAACCCTACCTGAGGAATTGCATGAGCACATAGTTTGTATTCAATTCCTAATGAACGACCCTATTAGGAACTTTACTTGGTTAAACTTCTTGCATGCACTATTTTTTTACTCGACTTAGTACGATATTTAGTGTGTGTATAATTCCGTCCCACCCATTCAAATCACGTACTCAACTTAAATCTTGTGTCCGTCGTATGCCAAATGAAAACACAAATAACAAAGAAAGTGAATGTAAAGGCAAAAATATAGAAAATTGCATTGCCAATAACATCATGAAAGACATGCTAGTGAGTTGCATGGTACATTTTCGTGCGGAAACCCCACGATGAAACGAGAGAATGAGAAGTACAATCTGAAGAACAAGTCAACGGACACGACACAAACACATTTCTCACGCACACTCAAAACATAGAAACACGTGAACAAAGACACCGGGAAATGAGTCTCCTACATGATTTTTGGACACTCTAGGGTTTCATGAAAATATCACAATAAGCTTATGGATGTACGCCCCCTCCAATTCCACCTCCAACGCCGCCGCCGACTCCACCGCCCAATCCCCCAACGCCACCACCAGCAGCGCCGCCCAAACCACCGATCCCACCGCCTACCCCACCCAAACCACCAGCTCCACTGCCGACCCCATCCAAACCACCAACACCGCCTCCTATTCCGGTCACCCCACCCACGAGGGTGCCGGTTCCTCCTATACCGGCTCCAATCCCAGCTCCACCGGCCGGCCCCGTGATCCCACCGATCCCTCCAACTCCGCCGTACACCGGAACTCCACCACCAGCTCCAGCACCGCCGACCCCAGCAAAACCACCGACTCCACCATACGTGAGGAAGTTCTTCTGGTCATTGAGGCCAGCACCGCTAGGCACATTTCTAGCCGTAGCTTGCACCACTACGAGAGCAAGAACCAACATAACACAGTGCCTTGCCATACTCTCTCACTCACTCTCTCTCTCTCAATACACACTTCAGCTTCTTGCTACAAGTACTCGTGTGGCATAGAGCGAGATCGGGTTTGTTCTTTTAAAGGCATATGCGAGCGGTGAGAGACAGTTGCTGGCAGTAAATGGGGGATTAAATGCGGAGCTCGGGGTTTTGGTGTCTGTCCTAACTGAGAGAGTACTTGAGTCGCAGTGCTAGTAAAACCCGAGAACTTATAAATGCGAAGGCATCGTAAAAGTTCAATCGTTTAAGCACGTTTTAACGTTCAAAACCGGCTCTTTACCATCTGGAATTCATCGATGAGTTATCAAAGCACGGCCAATCGGGAAGTGGTGGGTAGAGGAAGGAGAGGGAGTAGGTTCTGTGGCAAACGGTGCGCCAGTGAGATCGATGTCAGAAACAGCAGCAGGGGCATTTGATGCTGATGGAGAACACATCATCCGCCAGTGTGAGTTGTGAGTGGTGGCTCAGAATTTTGAAACCCTAGCTACTGTACATTTGGTACGTGCGAGGGGGAGCGAGAGCTGAGAGAGGAAAGTGTTACTATTTTGCCTGTAAGAAAAATTGATTTGGGCAGTGTTTCTGCAACTGGGTGGTTGTTTTTCATCTGGAGGGGGTTGAGTTCGTTGTATAATTACGTCCGAGGATTGGCTTCGCCTGTTCTTTACTAAGTGCGGCTAATCGACAAAAGGCATCCCCGTACGCCCCTTTCCGTGTCTTCGGCCGGTCTACAGCAGAAAAAGCAAAGAACCCTTCCTCTGACGAAAACCTACTGACGCCATATGTATATAGAATGTTGGAGCCCCTTTTGGGACGTCCAAAATTAAAGTCCTTCGCTTTTCTCTTTCGGCATCAGAGCTAAGTCCTAGTCTTGATCCTGGTGAAACTTGAATATTTACGAAATCACCACCGTTCCATAGGAAATAGATAAAGTAAATTAACGGCCCTTATCTTGGTTGAATTCTACCGATGGAACTTCAATAAATATTTGGTCACCAACTCACCTCATCCAATTTGTTTCAGGTTTTATACATGAGTTTCAAACTCGAAACATAATTTAACAAAATTATATCTTTCTTCTTGGAGAATGTACATCGACACTAAACAATAATTAATTCCTTACGTGATATCCCATGTTGTTCACAAACTCTTACGTGATAAGAAGTGGTAATTCTTTACAGCGGCGAGATGAATAGAGAAATATATCAGGCCAAAAGACCATGCAATCCATTTCACAACCTTGAGCAAAACTAATGGAGAAATATATTATGCCTCTTTCTCTCTCTCTCTCTCTCTCTCTCTCTCTCTCTCTCTCTCTCTCTCTCTTTTCTGATATTTGAGATAAATAGACTTCACAAAATTACTTTATTTCACTTTTTTGAATAAGTTTTTGAACTTGACTATACCTTATGAAAGTATGAAAACTTGATTGTACTTTCTTATAAGATTTAAGATTTCTCGTATACATATGTTTATTTTTTGTTTCTATAAAGGATGCATTGTGCCACGACCACTTTTCAACTAATTTTTTCAGAGAACTAACATTACATACACCGTGGTGTCTTGCCAAGATCACATGGCATTAATGTGGTACCAACATGATGCAACATCATCTCTAACTAAGACTAAAAACTAGAGTAGGCAACACTCTCCAATCTGCCGATAGGGGCTAAGTGGCCCTCTACTATTGAGTCATGTGACCTGATCATCATCGGGGCACTTCTACACACTAAGAATTTCAATGAAAATTTTGTAAAGTGTTTGTGAGGTATGGCATTTTGTATAGGAAGTACCAAAAAATACACTAGGATACGAGGGTTTTGGGACGGTGGATCAGTTTTTCAAGGGACCATTGAAGCCCCCCTCCCCTCAGAATTAAAATTAGTGCATTTAGCGATTGAAAAACTAAAATGGACTGATTTGATTGCACTCACTTAGCACCAATAAAATTTATCCTGGAACGAACTAACTTACATCCTCATGAAGTTTTGCTTGCACAAGAAGACTGCAAACTTTCAACAGGAAGAAGGAAAAGTTTCCTGATGATAGGGTTTTAAGTTAAAGCAATGAAATGACTTGTTCCTAGCTTGTCCTTAAGAACATTGGTCACATAGTGGAGTGGTCCTATGCTTACTCGGATTTTCATAAATCCTCGATTAGGTAAATTGACATATGTTCATTCATTTGCGTGACCATTTACACCTGAAAGTACCCAACCCTAATGGAGAATACCACCCCTCTCTCCATCTCCCTTCTCTCTCTTATTGCATTCTGTTCAGACAATACAGAAGCTGCCAGTCAACAGCGACCTTCATACCCTTCTTCCCACGTCGTCGCTCCTCTTCTCACGTCTCTCTCTCTCTCTCTCTCTCTCTCTCTCTCTCTCTCTCTCTCTCTCTCTCTCTCTCTCTCTCTCTCTCTCTCTCTCTCTCCTTGAATCCAACCACATCCGTCTCATCGGTCAACAAAAGGAGGTGGCCAAACGTAGTCTCTTTGACACGGGAGACCAGACCAAGAGACGACCAGATCTTGTCTTTAGTGGCGCGGGAGAGATGTAGAGAGAGAGAGAGAGAGAGAGAGAGAGAGAGAGAGAGAGAGATCCTCGTTGGGCTGAGGCTCAAAGCAGTGGGCTAGAGGCAAAAGTGGCTGGAGGTGGGCTTCTGCAAAGGCCAATTTACAACACACAGCAGGCACACACAGAGACAGAGACAGAGAGAGGTGGTCAATCACCAATTGCCTTTTATTTCTTACTTAAATTCAATTCTGCAGTTCACACATGACTTTTATTTCATTCGAAAACTCCAGAAACTTTCATGGCATTCAAAACGTGGATACGGATACCCACATATGACTTTTCATAATTTTTCTGAAAATTCGAACTTTTATAATTATTTTTTTACGGGAAAGCAAGAAATAGTTTTTACTTATATTTTTAAGTGCTAACAAAGAGACTCATTAGAAAAAGTGTTAACAAAGAGGCCCTCCATATTAGAGGTGATCGGTTTCTAGGTGAGCCAATGAAACTGATGGCATGTTCATTTTTTTTTATTTATTTGTCATTAATGTCCAAGATGAAATTAAAGATGTTATTGAAGATTTATGTATTTTTACAATCAGTGAGTAACATGTAATAACTATTGTGTTTTGATTTGTTCATGTCATTTTACTTACGTGCATATGTAAACGTAGTCGCTCCAGCCTTGAAGAGCCTTCCTTTGTGAAGTGGGAGATAGATTAGGATTTTTTTCTAAGATTTTTAAGAAATTATAAAAAAATTGGTCCGATTCGAGTGAGCAATTCCACGCCTGAAAATGGGAATCGGACCGAAATTCATCGGTTCCAAAAATTGGAACTGGTGCTCCCGGGAACCGCCCAAAATCAGTCGGTCAAGGCTGTTCCTTTTGCTCGCCCCTACACCATATATCCATAAACTTCAGGGAAAATTTCGTTTTGGTACCCAAAGTGGGGGCATTTTCTCAATTTGGTACCCAAAGTGGACATAGTCTCAAATTGATAGCCAAAGTGCCAATTCAGTCTCAATTTGGTACCCAAAGTGCCCATTCAGTCTCAATTTGGTACCTGAGTTCGCCGGCCGGTCAAATGCTCACCATGAGAAGAAATTTCTTTTTCGAAGCAGATTTTTTTTACTTTTTAATTTTTTTCTTTCTTTTTTCCATTTTTGTTTTTTTCTTTTCCTTTTCCTTTTCCTTTTCCTTTTCCTTTTCTTTTTTTTTTCCTCTCTTCCCTCCGCCGGCCATAACCGTGGCCGGCGGAGGTCGCCCTCGTCGGGCGAGGGCGGCCCTCGCCCGCCCAGGTGAGGGCCAACCCTTGCCAGATCCGGCGAGGGCGAGGGTTGCCCTCGCCGGATCTTGCGAGGGTCGCCCTCGCTGCGTCGGCGAGGCCAACCCTCGCCGATCCGGCGAGGGCGAGGTTGCCCTCGCCGGATCTTGCGAGGTCGCCCTCGCTGCGTCGGCGAGGGCCAACCTCGCCGGATCCGGCGAGGGCGAGGGTGCCCTCGCCGGATCTTGCGAGGATCGCCCGGCTGCGTCGGGCGGGCCGCCGCCCGGGCGGCGAGGGCCGACCTCGCGGATCCGGCGAGGGCGAGGTTGCCCTCGCCGGATCTCGGCGAGGGTCGCCCGCCGACGCCGGCGAGGGCGGCCGTCGCCCGGGCTGGCGGCGAGAGAGAAGTCGATGAAGATGGTGCTGGACTCGCTGGCCTTCATCGCATCGAGTCCATGTCCGCACCGGAACGATGACTTCTCCTTCTACACAGCGGTTTCCTTCTGAGGGTTTGGAACGGAGGAAGAAGGTCCGGCAAGGGTCGGCCCTCGCCCGACGCAGGCGAGGGCAACCCTCGCCCGACGTCGGCGAGGGCGACCCTCGCCAGATCTGGCGAGGGTCGGCCCTCGCTGGCCCAGGCGAGGGCGGCCCTCGCTCGCCCAGGCGAGGGTGGCCCTCGCCCGACGCCGGCGGAGGGAAGAGAGGAAAAAAAAAAGAAAAGGAAAAGGATAAGAAAAAAAATAGAAAAAGGAAAAAAGAAAAAAAAAGTAAAAAGTAAAAAAAATACTGTTCCGGTAGCCGGAGCAGTAAATTTCTTCTTGGCCGAGGTGAGCATTTGACCGGCCGGCGAACCCAGACCAAATTGAGACTGAATAGGCACTTTGGGTACCAATTTGAGACTATGTCCACTTTAGGTACCAAATTGAGAAAAGGCCCCCACTTTGGGTACCAAAACGAAATTTTCCCTAAACTTCACAAGGTGGAGCAGGAAAACAAAGCCATAACATGCACACAAAAAAAAGTACTTGCCACATGAAAAGGCTAGTCATTTAGCTTTCTAGAATTACAGAATTTTATGGTTCCATTATCTACTATTCGATATACAGTCTCTTTCTGCTAAGAATAATATCGATGAACTTTATAAGATTTGATATGCTAAATGATGTATAATTGTAGTAAATGTTTATTCATGGGCCTGCCCCATAAGAAGACGAAGGACGCCTTGTCCTCAGCATCCCAATACCAATTCTCTTTTGGGTCAAAGC